TAAAAAAAAATTAAACAACGAATTACCATATGACCCAGAAATTCAACTTCTGAGTATATACCCAAAAGAACACAAAGCAGGGTCTTGAAGAGATATTTATGCACTCAGATTTATAGATTATTCACAATTGTTAAAATGAGGAAGCAACCCAAGTGTCCATCGATAGATGAACAGATAAGCAATGGAATATTGTACATTGTACAGTATGGAACAGATATGTACAATGGAATATTATTCAGCCTTAAAAAGGAAGGAAATTATTGACATATACTACAACATGAATGGACATTGAGGACATTACAGTAAGTGAAGTAAGCCAAATCACAAAAAGACAAATATCGTATGATTCCACTTAAATGAGGTACTTGGAGTAGTCAAAATCACAGAGACAGCCTGGCTGGGCATGGCTCAGAGGTTGAGCATCGACTTAGGATCCAGGAGATCGCGGTTCGATTCCCTGTCAGGGTACATGCCCGGGTTGTGAGCTCGATCCCCAGTCAGGGGCATGCAGGAGGCAGTCGATCAGTGACTCTCTCATCATTGATGTTTCTGCCTCTCTCTCTCCCGCTCCCTTCCTCTCTCTGAAATCAATAAAGATATATATGTGTATATGTGTGTGTGTATATAAATAAATTAGGGAGCAAAGTCTTCATTTTCTGTTCCCTGGATAAGTATGTGTTAGATTGTCTAATTCTTCTTAAATGTTTGGTAGAATTCATCAGTGAAGCTATCTGGCCCTGGACTATTCTTCATGAAAAAGATATATTTATGGATCTCTTGGGAAAAGAACGGAAACCTTAAGAATCAGTCAAGAGGGTTTTGGGGGGTAAGACAGAGAGAGAGAGGTGGTGGCTTATGGCATTTCAAATTGACTGGCATTTTCCTAAAAGGACCTTGCGCTTGGTTCCCACCATCTCACCACACTTTCCCTGAGTGGCAGGTCGGTGGGATAACAGGTCTATGAGTACACGAGTCTACGACCCAGGTCTTTCAGAGAAGGCCCTGTTGTTGGGCAGAGTGCAGTGAGTGGGAAGTGGAGGAGGGAATGGTTTAAGCAGACAGAGGCTCTTTGTTTGCTCTGTTTTTTTGTAAATGAGGCAACATTTAGAAAAAACAAATATTGGTTCACAGAGCTAATGCCTTTCTGCCCATCCTTTTTAGGTCAGCTACCCAACCTCCCTGCACGTACACACAAGCTGAGCTCTTTCTACATGGGGGCCAATCTTGTTGAAATTTGAGTTTTATTTTATTCAGTTTATGATGGAAGATTTGGGTCATGACTTGGTTTGTTCCGTAGCTGGAAAAGTTTCTCACATTCCTATTCTCTCTCTTTCCTCCTCTCTTCCCTTCCTTCCTCCCTTTCTCTCCTCTCCTTCTAGATAAAGAGATCTGTATCAAGAAGGCAGCTGTGGTCTGCAGAAGGCTGGGACACGTAGGAGATTTGAGTTCCAGTTCCAGAGCTCTGTGAACAAGGACTTGTCATTTTACTGTAGTGTCCACATTTAAACAATGAGGGTACTGATCCTATCTCCTAAGGTTAGGGTTAGGAACAGTGCTTGACACATGGAAAGACTGCAAACATGATACTTTCTTTCCATCTGAGCATAAGCCAGTGCATGTCTGAAGTTCTGCAGTCGGGGTACTTAATGAACTAGCCCATCTGCAGACTGAAACCTGGTGCTGCATCTCTTGGGGAATCGGCAGAGTTGGGAGTGCCCTATTCCTCTCTCATGTGAGCTCTGGGGCCTCTGTGTGTCCCTGTTTCCTAGGAGAGGGAGTGTCTCTGGTGAATGGGTAGACACATTCTAGAACCAGAGTGCCTGATTTTGCATCTGACTCACCAGCTGACTTTGGACAAGTTATTAACCTCTCAGGGCCTCAGTTTCCTAATCTCATCTGTGAAATAAGGATTCTAATGCACCAGTTACAGAGGGTTAGCAACCAGTAAAGCTCTCAGTGAGTGTTAGGCATCATTAAGTGGTAAATGAGGGACAATGAGTTTCCTGACTCCAGAGTGCCTATAGAATTCAACACCGTAAAGGATAGTACAGGCGTGTCATGGGCCACCAAGGACATGAAAAACTGTCATGTTAGCCTTTACCTTTACATCCCACCCACACTCACTACAGACGTGGGCATGTTACAGCCATATAATCAGGGTCCTATATACATGTACACCCCACAGCAAGCCTCACCCCTTCCTCCAAGGAATGGCAGACACAGGGTTTTGTTCCTGTCCTCCTGAGTGAGAACTAGGGCCCTGCCCATGTGAGTAGATGATGTGGGACTCCTGCTGTCCACGTCTCATCTGACCTTCCTCCAGATCCCATGAGCTCTGCACTTCCTCCCTTGCAACCGTATGGGCTTGGACTCCGAGGGCTCCACTGAGGCAGGGCATAGGGTTGGCTGGACTGGAGAGGGTTCATCCTGGCCAGATGGTGCTCCTTTTGAGGACCTTAGGTGAGGCTGTGGGCCTGTCCCTGGAGGAGCTGCCTAAGTAAAGGCTCACTATGTGAGTGCAGTAGGGGCCCAGGGAGGAGAGTCATGGTCCATTGACCTTCCATGGCCTCCACCAAGCTCTCCTGAGTTTGTGGATTAGCTCAGCATTTAGCAACTCTCCTTCCTATTTCTGGGCAGACTCTGCAAGCTCCCTGTAGGGCCTAAGGAAGGCATCAGTTGAATGCGGGCATGCCTGCTCTCCCAGCCAGCTCTGCCCCTGACTTTCCCCTCTTCATCTCTGTACCTCTAGGTCCCCACATGAAGCCAGACCCCCTCCCCTCAATGCCTTTCGATCATAAAAGGAATAGAAATTTATAAAAGGAAAAGTTAGTTTATATTTGTTCAAAAAGTTTAAATATGTTAGTTTAAAAGGTCATATATAGAATATACAACTTCACTGTTTTTTTCTGATAAGACTGTGCAATCAAAATCCTGGAGAGAGCCAAGGATGACCCAGGGCACTGAGATCAGGCCATATTCTCCCCTAGGCCTCTTTCTTTGCGCTCATGTGTCACTTTGTTCTGAGTCTCAGAGTGAGACTTGACCACATTCCTGGGCAGCTTCTTGTGGGAGAGAATGTGTCTCTCCTGTGACTCTGTCCCTAGGCCAAGAAGTCTAGCAGGCTGCATAAAGGGAGGGCAAGGTTTCCAGTCCAGGAGCCTTAGCTCAGCAGGGCACATGGGGAGAGAGCAGCCTCTCAGTGGGGCAGGCCCTTAAGAGTCCAGGAGCAGAGGTGACAGACACTCAGGAACAAGTGAAGGGTGTTTAACCTGTTGTCTTTGACTTGAGGCCAGCTTTATTCTTCTTGGATGCCCTCTCTCACGAGGGTCTTTGCCTGTCATTCTTCGGTTATAGTCTGGATCTGGGTATTTCCCTTCCCTTTCCATCTCCTAGGACTGGTGCAGGGCC